GGGGGGGGGGGGGCGCACGCTCCCCGCGCAGCCGCCAGCCCCACCTGCCCGACCCGCAGGTGGACATGGCCTTTGAGCTCTTCCGGCCGGACGAGGAGGGGCACATCTCCGCCGCCGAGCTGCGCCGCATCTTTTGCGCCTCGGGCGGCGAGCAGCTCGGCGAGGACGAGTTCTCCGCCATGCTGGCCGACCTTGGCGTGGCCGCGGACGGCGTGATCCCGTTGCATGCGCTGCGCAACCACCCGAGCTTTCGCGCTTGAGCCACCGTGGGGCGGAGCCCGCTCGCCCTTTCGGCGTGCCTACGCCGGCTTGCACCGGCGAGCGGCGTACGTGAGACGTTTGGCCGGCGGGTAGTAGGCACACGCGCGCCTCTCTCTTCGACTAGACCCTCGATGTCTACGGTCTAGCTCGATTCGCTACCTCTCGCGGTGCGCAGCATATTGTGTATCACGACAAACTTTCAAACATAAAACGTATTTTACCCGAGCCTCTCTCTCCCCCCCCGACGCCCGCGAGCCCCCCCTCCGCCCCTGGGGGTGGGTGTGGACGGTCCCTCTACACCCACCAGCGCACAGGTGCCGGCCGCCGGCAGCGGCGGACTACACGACTCTACGAAAGTACGACCCGGCACACGTCACACGTACGAGCCCGGCTCGGGTGCACACTGTGTGCGCGCAGCTGCGCAGGACCGCAGACGCGGGAGCTCCGGGCGCGCGGTCCACGGGGCAGCGCGCTCTTCAGAGCGCGGGCAGCCGCTCTCGCCGCGGAGGGCATACCTCTAGCAGTAGCAATCCCACTCCCAGCAGTGCGCTGCTCCTCTCGCGCACGCGCTCCACCAAGCGCCGAAGCCAGACGCCCCAGACCCGCAGCTGGGTGCCGCTCGGCCCGTCGCTGTGTCCTCCTGACCGTTGGCGTCGGGGACGGGCGGGAGAGCGACCTGGACAGGTATGTGCGTCGAGCTCCGGCGCTGGCCGCTCCCGAAGCTCTCCCTCGCCTCCTGCAGCAGCGAGCGCTCGAGGTCCCGCAATCCGGTCCCAATAGACAGGCGGGAGAAACTGAATTCGTCGCTGGTGAGGCCGCCCTTGCGCCAGGCGCGAGGCGACAAAGAGCTCGCGCGCGCAGGCTTGCACCTCTGCGGGCTCGTCGGTCGGCTGCCGAGCAAACCTCGCGACATTCCGCTGAGCTGCGAAGCTATGCTACTGCTCGTCGATAACGATATGGGTCGCCACGCTTCAGACAACGAGGCCGCGTCGAGGTCGGCCACTCCTCCTCCCGTGGCCCATTCCCCGAGCGGTGGGTGCGTGATGGTGTCAGCGGAGCCCGAGCTGGAGCGCCTCATACACAGCTTTACCCGACGGCGTTGTATGCATTCGACGGCACGCTGAGGTTCCCCGCCCACGCTTTCTTTCTGCGCTTTTTTTCTCTTTTCGTCTGCCCTTATAAGTTCTTTTTGCGGAGCGCCGACCGCTCTTGAAGCCGTGAACCAGCTCATTCACCCTCGTCCGCCGCAAATCGTCGGCCTCAGCTCGGGAGCCAACAGCCGGCCGGCGCGCATGGGGGTTAATTAAGGAGCGAGAGCGCGAACCGCCACCGGCCACCGACGACGAGGATGCGACGCAGGCGACCACGCAGGAAGGCTGCTGGCGTCGTGGGGGAGTCATCCGGCAAGGCGGCAAGCGCAGCCGACAGCACAGCATCACCAGATCACCGCTGGGCTCGCAGGCCTCGACACCTCTATCCCTCGACAGCAGCTCGACACCCTCGACACCGGGCCTCGACACCTCGACACCAAGGCTCATGGGGGGGAGGGGGGGGGGGAGGCGGAGGATGCAGAGGCGGAGGCGGCGGCGGCGGAAGAGGAGGAAGGAGGAGTCAGAGTGAGGGGGAGGCGGAGGCGGGGGCACCTGTGACGGCCCGCTACGAGAAGGGCGACTACCGGTTCGCGCGGGAGAAGAATTGCGACCTGCGTTTGCTTGACTTCGAGACGTTCGGCGGCTTCGGGAACGGCGTCCGCCGTCTTCTTCGGCAGGCGGCGGACCAGCTGAGTAACAAACTTTCGCACGCTCAGCACCTCGATGAGGTCACATGGACCACCAAGAACTGGCACGGGCTGCAGATGCAGCGCTTGTCTGTCGTTCTCCACGCCACACGGTGAACGAGCTAGCGTGCGGGGAGAGCGGCATTGTGCACGCTGTGTGCACGGCGCTAAGTGCATTGCCGTTCTTAACGGAGTCGCTTAGGCGGCTCCGGTGGTTTGCCTGTGTGCTGGTGATAGATAGTGCTCTAGCATGCGCCAGTCCGCACCTGTGTCGAGCCTGTCTGCTGTGAGAGAGATTTGTTTTGTTTAAAAATTCGGTCGAAAAATTCGGGAGTCTTTTCGAGGAGGGTTGCGGGTTGGGTAGGACTCTGACCTGTTATGACCCTGATCCGACTGTGTTCAGAACCTTATGTGAACACCGACCTGTTCCGACCCTGTTAGGTTTGAACATGGTCGGAACAGGGTTGAATCAGGGTCGGAACAGATGTAGCTGCCCCACTTGGAGCCCCACGTACGGCCCTTTTTCCCGACCTTGATCCGTACTTGTGTCCGACCGTGATCCGACCGGAGGTGGTTCGGCAGCAGATGATCATAACATGATCCGAGAGAGATTTTTAGCAATCCGCGTTCGACCACGTGTTCGAGTTCCTACTCCGACTCTGTTTCGACCGTGATCCGACCTGCTCCGACCGTGCTCGAACAGGTCAGCGGCGGCGGGAGGCAGGGATTTTCCCAACCTTGTTCCGACTCGGGTCCGACCCTTATCCGACCGTAAAACAAACAAACAAACCTCCCCTTTTCGGAAAAAAAACGCCTTCCAGACTGCGCACCTGTTCGCTGTCAGACTGCTGTAGTGCGCCCCCGCCCCTCAGACCGTCGCTGTCAGACTGTGCTGTACCGCTTTTGGACGACGTCTCTCCCTGATTGTGAGAAGAATGCCAACTCTCTTGCTCACGCTGTTCATCAGCTGCATCCGGGCGTCGGTGCTGCCTAAGTCGGCGCAGCCTACCGCAGCCGGCAGCACCTACCGCGCCCTTGTCGCCGGCAGCGTTGGTGAGCAGTTCCGAGACGTGGCAAAGATCGCCGAGGTTGCGCTCAAAGAGCTTGCCGAGGATGAGGTGCTCGTGAAGGTCGTGTACGCCGGCGTCAACGGTGGCTGCGAGACGTTTCGTGCGCGCGGAGAGTTTGCCTTTGCGTCCAACCGTGAGAGTGACAGCGGCTTTGCGCTGGGAGCAGAGGGCGTTGGTGTTGTTGCGGCCATTGGGAGCGCCGTCGAGGGCTTTGCCGAAGGCGATGCTGTGTGCTTCGTGGGCAGCGGTTTTGCCGAGTACACCACAGCCAAGGCGCGGACGCTCTGGCGGGTTCCGGAGCCCACCGCCGAAATGGCGGCGCTGCGCATCTCCGGCCTCACCGCCTGCGCGATGATGGAGGTCACGGGACAGGTCAAGGCCGGCGAGACGGTGCTGGTCACCGCGGCTGCGGGCGGTGCGGGGCACTTTGCGGTACAGTTTGCGAAGCTTGCCGGCTGCACCGTAGTTGGCACCTGCTCGTCTGAGGAGAAGGCGCGCGCACTGTGTGCGCTGGGGTGCGACCACATCATCAATTACAAGACGCGAGACGTCGGCGAGGCGCTGGCCCGCCTCGCGCCGGGCGGCGTCGACGTGGTCTTCGAAGGCGTCGGCGGCCGAATGCTGCAGACCGCCCTCGCGCACCTCAAGGAGGACGGCCGGCTGTTGCAGGTGGCACCGCGGGACACGGCGCTGCCACGCACACGTGCATGCCCACGCGCGACGCGAGCCGTGCCCAGGTGGGCTACATCAGCGAGTACCCCCACAACCCCGAGCGGGCCGCCGAGACTGCGGCGCACGACCTCGAGACGAGCTCCCTCTTTTGGAAGGCGGAGACGATCCAGCGCGGCAAGCAGACCATCTATGGCAACGCATGGCCCAAGGACTTTGCCGCCGTCGCCGGGTGCGCGGCCCGACACCCGCACATCATCTGATCCTGTCCCATCTGATCTCGTCTCGGTTGGTCTACGCTGACGGTGCGCGTCGCCAGCTCGCCACCGTCGCCGACGCCCATGCGTCCCGGGCAGGTGCAAGCAGCGCGTGCTGGATCTGCACGCGAGCGGCCAGTTGGCGGCGCTCGTGGACGAGAAGCGCACGTTCGCCGGCTTGGAGAGCGTCGCCGACGCTATCGAGTACATGCTCTCGGGAGAGGCGGTGGGGAAGGTCGTCGTTCGCATAGGCGATCCGTGACGCGTGAGTGGGGACTAGAAAGCGCGCAGGCTCGAGCGCGCAGGCAGCGCAAGGAGAGGTGTATATGTTCTCATAAATCGATAACGATGTAAGAAGGGAGCGAAGAGCGAGGCAGAGGCTTCGTTTTATTGTTGTTCGGACGTGCGTCGTGCCGGCTAGATTTATTCTGAGGGCGGCGGAAGAAAGAAAGAAAACAACGCAAAGGACGGACGATGGGAGGAAAAAGAAATAAAACAGACGCAAGGGAGGGATGGGAGGAGGACAAGGTCCCCACCTGCACGAGCCCGAAAAAGAAAGAAAACGCGCGCGGCAAGGGAGGGATGGGAGGACGATGGGAGGACGGCACGCCGCCACCACGCAGGGAAGGGAGAAGAGAGAGGAGTAGGTAGGTAGGTAGTGTGGTGGTGCTCAGCGGGCAGAATTCTTTGTTATCGGACACGCCGGCCCGCCGGCAGCCTCGAGATGCCGTTGCTCGCGAGCAAGAAGGACAATGCCGCCTCGGCAGCGGCGCACCACCCTATCTCGGCGCACCACAATCCCAGCGCCGTCACCGTGAGCCATCTCGCCGGCCCTTACCGAGCTCCTGTACCGCCGAGCCTCAGTGAGGTGGAGATCCAGGAGCTTCGGAAGCAGACCCGGCAGTGCATGCTCGCGGTTGGCATGTTCCTCTCGGGGACGGCCAACACCATCACTATCAAGGCAGCGATGAGCACACTCGCCGTCGGCCGAGACGGCGGCGACCCGAGACCGTTTGACCACCCATTCGTCGTCGCGGGATTTATGTTCGTTGGCGAGATCTCCTGCTTGCTTGTGCACTACATGACACGCGCGCGGGGCTGCCGCAAGCGCTACAACACCAACGTGTGCGCGCTGCCCGCAATGTTTGATATTAGCGCGACCTGCATCATGTACGTCGGCCTCACTATGACGACGGCCACGACCATGCAGGCCGACGCCGCCACCCTCGCTGCCGCCCACGCCAGCACCACCGCCACCGATCTCTCTCTCTCTCTCCCTCTCTCCCTCTCTCTCTCTCTCTCTCTCTCTCTCTCTCTCTCTCTCTCTCTCTCTCTCTCTCTCTCTCTCTCACTCT